CCACTTGAATATTTTATTCGAGTGAGCCCCTCCGTGTGAGGTGATGTACACCTTGATGTACATCAAAAAGATGTACATCTAACATTTTTTTTAAAGATATCCATGTTTGTTGATGAACCATCATTACATTATCTACTAGAATGACGTGTACTATCGTGTACATATTTCAGCCAATTACCATTTTCACCAAACATGTTTGAAGTGCGAATTGTTTGTACGACTCTATGCGTTAACTTCAGAACTCGAAGCTCGTTAAGAGATATCACCAAACATGGACATGCAATTGCACGCCTAAACTTAGCTCTATTTATCACCTAATTTTTTGAAGCTCATTTTCGGTCACATATTCATGAAACCCACAACTTATATCAATTTTTTAATCACTTATTTAATCAACTTTTATTAAAATATGATTTTTATCAAAATCAAACACGAGCTCAAACATTCGCTCTATATCCAAATTCAATAAAGCTATTTGTACAAAGTTGAATTGCCAAAGTCGGGTTACAAAGTGTGTTGGCAAAATTCAGACCGTTGATTTCAAATGATTTAAAAATCTATTTTTGAAATGATTGGTGTAGATGTTATTTTGTCTATCAATTTTGTAACCTAACTTTATACAAGTTGCATAACTCATCTAAATTAGGCACCGCCCACCGGCTCTTGTTAGGTCAGCTTCTTGTAGCGTCAGTCAATATAGGCATACATTGCACAGGGAGGAATGTGTCCACTCAGGTCTTGACAAAATACGTCTTCAATTACGAATGGCAAATCCTCTGAAGAGCTGGTCCTTGGTAGGTTGTGTCACCATACATACGTTAGACAAGAAGTCAAACTCATACTAACCTTTTTGTTATACAAAAAAGCCACTTCTACGGTCATTAGTGGACTGTAAATTTTACAGTCCACACTAATTAGTGTGGGGCCCATTCAATTCACGAAATTGAGATAATATAACGCCATGTCCAATTCCCCCAACAAATATTTTCATCTTGTCTTGTCGCCTAGACAGAGAAGGTAACGGCATGCTTCTTTCAACTTTTACGTACAGAGCAAAATATTGCCCACATCTTGACCTTCTTAGTATGCTAACTTAATCATCGGAGTAACAAGGAAGAGTATTTGCTCTCTTTTTTTTTTCTTCAGGTAATCGGAGTAGAAGAGGAACTCATTCGAACTCCCAATTTCCAGGCCTCATAATTAAGCGTCGCGAGGTTCTTCGCTTAGCAATAAAAAGGACAAAAAAGATTGTACATCGAGTTAGAATTTAAGATTTAAATAAACTAATTTTTCTTCTCAACATAGTATTAAGATTGTACGATCTTGGTTGTTGAAGGTAAGACACTTTCGGATAAAGGGTAGTGGAAGATAAGAATATTTTTATAATTATCAAACCTAACAACTAATCTGTTAAAACTCAAAATTACACACGTTTCAAATTTGAAATTGCAACATGGAGAGCATCCAAATCCCTTACCCTCTTCCCTCCCCGGCAAAAAGAAAAAAGAAAGGTTAAAATAAAATCTTTAATATACACCAACAATACATCCCTCCAAGACAAAAATTCCACGAAGTCTACAACAAAAGCTCAACTCTCTACATGTAATTCTGGTGAAGTCGCGCCATGTAAGCAAAACGGGGTTTTAAGCAGCGGTACACGAACCTGAGATGCTTTGTTCTAGATCAGATGATTTACTGGACCCAGTACATTGCTTCCGATGAGCTGGAAATATTCAGTAACGGTTAAAACAAAACCAAAACGTCTAATCCTAAAGCCCGACCCATTTTACCCATCTGAACACTTTGCTAACTCTTTAAAGGTAACTCATAGTCTTTAGCTACAGCAGGCTCCCTTCTTGCAGTCTCAGGTTCGGACCACACGTACACCCCACGTTCCTGTCTACTGCCCGGAACCATGTTGTCAAGGATGATGGCTACTAGGAATGCAATCACCATGTGAAGTGACAACAACGTATTCAGAACATAGTTGAGCTGCATGAGATATAAAAAAACTTTTTAAGGATAAATTCTAACAAAATCGGAAAGGATGCATCATTGGTCCCACATCATAAGTTTCGAAAAGGACCACTCGACGATTTAATAAAGATTTAGATGGTTTTTGCTGTTATCTACTGATTGTGCAACTAACAAAAACCTCCAAATTGCTCCCTTTTGAAGATTGAGGACAAACTTACTATTCAAACAGTAGATTAGATACCAATGTCACAATTTTCCCTACAAATTTGATAGAAGAGGTGAGACAAGACATACCCCTGAAAATTTGGTGTGAATCGGACCATGAGAAGCCGCCGTATATGGCTGAAAGTAACTCAGGACGGACAAGTTCGTGTTTGGAGATGTACTATACTACTGAGAATAAGCCAGTACTGATAGGGAAAAGAACAAAGACAATCCAACAATTATGACGTTCCTTGAACTCCCTGCCTCGCTATAACGAAGATTTGACAACCCAATGCTGTGAGCATTGCCCACATAAAGAACAATAGAGCCGCAACCATCACTTGGGGGATTGATGCAATAAACCCCCCAACTTTACCTGGTAGCATGACAATATGATAAAGATCAAGTATTGCTGAAAACTGAAAAGTTAATCATCAAGATTTTAGCTTCTTTTTTGTTCATTAACAGTGTCCAATACCAAATATGTCACCAGTGCACATAGTAGGAACATCAGAATGAAAATGGATCCCATTTTTCAGTATTTATGCATTTGTTAAAGTAATTTCAGAAAACCATATTTGCGAGACAAATACCTATAAGCGATAGGACAATTAAAGCGCATGCACCTAACTCGATTGCCCTCCAACTTCCCATTTTAGTAACAGCAATAGTATGCACATTCTCAGTCAAAGTTGTGGAGCCAGTTCCTACGCCCCAAAGACCAGCCAAAATGCTAGAAACACCTTCAAGACCAATCCCTCGACTTAAGACACCAGGTGTTGGAGGTCTGGAAGCTACCAGCAACGATGATGCGTGATATGAACCAACTTACATATTGAGAAATGTGTCAAATCTAATGATCATCTAATGTACACACACAAGGCCGGACATATGAATAATTCAATGAGTGTCACAGATGTGATCTACAATATTCTTCCATGCCTGTTCCTCCTATCATTAAAATTATTCCACTCCAACTTCCTTGAGATATCACAAATGATTACTCTTCCGAAAACAATTTTTCTCTCTAAAGGTGCCATTATCTAAGACTAATTTTTTACCGCTAGTTTTTAGTATATCTTCTTTAACTCTTCATTCATAAAAGGTGTAAGCATGTAAGCTCCAAATGTCCTGTTCAAAAGACAACATCCCAAATGCACATCTGAATTTTATACTGTTGAGATTCGAACCTGTGACCTGACTGGTTGAATTGTGCTTCCAACAATTGGTTAAAGTCGTGTTTACTTGGAATGACACTT